GATACTTTATCGTCATGCAGCGTGCATAATACAACAAATTAATATGATAAAATCAACGCAAACTAATTGATATAAACGTAAGTACTTTCAAACATTAATTAAAGTGAAATTTCATATAAACCACTAGATTACCAAGTTACGAGTGCTCTTCATAAATGATTTTCTAGCTCTAAATTATATTTATATGTGTAGCAGGAGAGTTGATAGAAGATCAAAGCGGTGCGTGATTAATTGTGATTTAATTTTGTTGCGAGCTCTGTTACCTACCTCGGTGTCTGCGTCTGTCTGCGAAAGTCGCAAGGGTTGACTTCGTTCTAACTCCATTTGCTAACACAAATCAATAATAATTTAATGCAGCGTAATTGCGCGCACATTTCAAACACCTCTATCAAAGTAATAGTTTATTTATAGAAATTAATCTTATTTCATGTTTATCATACAGTTCGGATAAAATTTATGTCATCATGTCGTTCGCACGCCCAACTTATTCGTTACACTTTGCATTTTAAATTCATGAATATTTACAGAGGACATAATTGCTAATCTCACAGTGGTTTTGAACAAACCTTTCATCCATCATGTTAAGAATGATTTATATTCGCGAAACTTTCATAATTATAATTTTAACTTGTCTATAAAATATGAAATATAAATCATTCTTAATACTTATAACAACATAATGCGCCAATATTTCCATTTTATCAGTCAAATGTTTCAGTATTTTTATTATATTTATATACGTTTAGTTTTAAACATTCTATTGATATTGTATTTAATCATATTCAATAAACACAACGTTGTTCGGCTTATCAAAAAACAATTCGAATAGTCTGCACACACGATCACATTTGCAGGTGCAGTTTATGTTTACTACTCGAAATGTGATCGTGTGTGGCGGCTATTACACTGTCCGAATGATTGTATGAATATTTTACAATAGTTTTCGAAACAACGCAAAAACTGTGTACGGTTTGAAGTGTTCAAGTATACGTGGACTTACGCTCTACAATATTCTATTTACTATGTACAAACAACCGTTGTTTTAATTTATATTTTGCTTAAAACTGTACGTTATCTCCATTAGGAGTATGTAATTCTACGTTATAAACTTCCATTGCTCGTGGCACGTGGCAGTTTTCGTTGTTTCATAAAAATAATACGTCCATCAGTCGCACTTTTGTTTAAAACTCGCACAAAACGTCTTTTTTCATTTGAATCTCGCTGAAAATAGTTCATTTAATCATTACAATCACCAAAATTGTTCGACGTGCACCAATATCGTAAAGAAGCATGTGATTAATGAACTGTTAATCAGTGTCGAACTTCCTGCAAACACACAAGCATAATTATTTAGTGTGTTTAAGAAAAAAGTGTTTGTGTGTGTGTGTTTGTGTGTTGTAGTATTGTAATTCAAGGCACAAAATGCTGAAATGTATGTAGATACTTTGTACGCTACAGGTCGGACGTGCGATCATGAAGAAAATATAAACAAGTTATTCGTGAGCTGTAGAAATGCTCGATGCATTATGCTTTATGATAAAACACATTTTCTCTGAACGCGATTCACACTTAAGACCTCTTGGCTTGCCATTCGCGCCCTGCGCCAGCATCTGCATTCACATACGCGTGCGTTTTCATAGTCATGGATTTCCAACAATCGGACCCGAAGTGAGTCCGCATCAGCCCCGTGATTCAGCAAACCGAATGGAATTTATTGTGTATTGGCGTCGGCGCGGCGCCGAATGCATTCGGGGAGATGCTGTGCGGAGATACGTGAGTGCGGCGTTTCAACGAAATAATTCAAAGCGCGTGCAGGGCAATGGCGGGGGATATTTGACTGGTTCGAGCGCATGAATAAATCCGGAAACTATTCGCGCGGTACGCGAGCAAGACGCATTTGCGATGAACACGGGCGAGCTGGAGCGAAACAACGCGTCTCGGCGGAGGAAAAACGCCAAAAGAGTAAAAAATAATGCCACACGACGGCGGCGGTGGCGGCGGCCGTAAAACCGTAAAACGTTTATATCGAAGTTTTGTTGCTCGGCCGCTTGCTTAGCCTTCAAAAACTCGCCGGGTCTGACCGTCTAGCAGGCAGGGGTTTAGCTTCTAGCATTTTCGAACGAGTTGAACGAGGTCACCTGCTATTATTACGGGTCCCATCCCTTGGGCGCCATATAAATACATTATATAGAATATAAAACTGGAAATCAGTTCGCTCAGCTCACCGGTGGGTGCTTTGCGAAAGAGAACGCTGCAGCAACTGCCACGTCGTGAAAACCCTCCCTTAAAACCTGAAACTATGGTTGCTTTACCCTCCAGATATCTATGTGTACCTATCCCGCCATTGACACGCTTCCCGATTTCGTTAGGGCAGCCACGAATTCGTTTTTTATTTACGGCTGCCGGCAGCCTCGCTTCTTTATTACCTGCCGATGGTCATCTAGATCTGGACCTTCAACTTCTCGTTGGTGGATTTGGATGGACGGCTGTTTGTTCTTATCAAACAAATAGACCGGCCACGGTTTCCATATCAACATCTAATGGTCTTGCATTTATATATTGGTTGATTCAGAAACCGAATAATATTTCGACTCATATGTGAAGGTTTTCTTGCTTTTAGAAACACCAAGTGGGGAAGTTTTGGAAGCAGAATAAAAAGAAGACCGCGTCATTGGAGACGTTTGTTTGTCTTGGGCTAACAATACATATCAGATGTAATGAGGAAAAACTGCTTTTGATGTCATAGAATATCGAAGAACACCACCACAAATATTAATTTCTTTCAGTTTTGACATAAATTGAGTTAAATCTCATACTGACAAAGATATCGTATTTCCTCACATTCTAAACGTACTGTATTATCACCCACATATGATAATGAAGCAAAAACATTAATTAATTTAGAAAATCAAACGCTGAGCTGAATAATTCCGAATGCTGTTTACACAAATTTGTAACCGCAAACAATAACGAAGTAAATTCACCGGTAATTCAAGTGCCAATTGATGATTGCAGAAGCAAAATCCAATCCGAAAACTTTCGCACAGCAAACAAAAGATGCGGCCCAAGCTTAAAGTTTTTAATTAAAAGTTATAATAATCATAGCGCGCGCGTTCGCGCCCAAAAGCAAACGGAATCAATTATTATTCATCATCGGATGTGCGGCTTGCCGATGCACGAGTGCCAATAAGCCACCGCGGCGACGGTGGTGGTGGTTGTACGAGATGCTCCTTTCCACGCCGGCGGTGAGAGCACGCGGAAGGAAATGCGGTGGCGCATCTGGAAACCGCCGATAAGACCGCATAATCTCTTATTGATATCAATATTAAACGTAATTAATTGGATCGTATCTCGTCGGAGCGAATTTGATTATAGCTGTATGTACCGCTCACGGCATATGCTCGCCTATCCACAATGTTACATTAATTAGCCGCATGTATTAATTAATCAAGCGGAACAATCACTACATGTTAAAATTGCATATGAGGATTAAGTGGCCCAGCACGTGAGATTATACAAAAACAAAATTATAGAAATATAGAAATAGAAAGCAATTTATAAAGCGTTGAAAGCGACAAAAAATACAATATATTATATACAGGGCGATGAAATATTTGATGTGGAATTGAAAAATGTAACTAGCGTCGTTACACGCTTCTTTAAGCGTTAACAAACAGTCTGTGAAGCGTTTACCGGCTCTTCGAAAGGAAACGAAAGTATATGAAAAGAAGAAAAATGCGAACCGGGCCACCGGTTCACATTACCGCAGGCTGAAAATGCGCATAACCGAGTTGTGCGTGTTTGTGTTTCAGCGTGCGCGCTGGATCTCTATCGCGGTGTGCGGTTTAAGTTTGTGACATTATAGTTTCAATGGCAAGATAAATGTGCAACTTTTAGTACACCCCAATCCAATTTCAAAGTACCGACTCTCCATAACTCGTCTCGTATAATCTAAATTTGAAAGTGCGCCGCCGCCTCCGCCGTTGCTCACAGTGAAGGCGGAGAAGTGGAAGACGCGATTCCGTTTCTACGTTTCGTTATGCACTTGTATCTGCGCACTGAACGCGGGACGTCTTCGTACGTATTAATCAAGATAGTTTTCGAATGGAATGTATCTGCCGCCTCCGACGCCATTTTGTGTTGTTCAGTATCAAACGCTGCATACAATTTAACGCTTAAAGGAGTTACTTAATGACATTTAAATACGTTTCAAAGCGAACTGAAACACAATTACCTTTCATCTCTAATGGAAATTGATTTCAAAAGAAAATGAAAATTTTAATACAAAAAATGTATTCTCCAAAGTAGTTAATTTGTTATGATAATGTTTGTAGTTTCCAAAGGACCTCCCAAACGCAATCATTTAACACCCGAGAGAATGTTTGTCCGAACACGCAATAATTATGTAAATAAATTACCCTTCCCTCCCGCAGAACGCGCCCGGATCGCATAAATTCGCGCATTACAAGCGAACAAAGCACGTGCACTTTAATAAAGCTGTAAATTAAACGTTCGGCTGCGGCTCAACGTTCCGCTAAGTGGAAGATATTGCCCGCTGTTGCAGTAAATACGTTCTTGTTATCAATGCTAATGACCCAACAATCCCCAGCAGTCGGGAGCGTTTTCGAAATAGTGCCTCCACCGCCGCAAGTCTCCGACAGGCCGCCCTTCGCCTAATAAGCGACGGCACCAAAACGCAACATGAACATGCGGCGGCAGCCAAAAACACAAATATCTCCAATCAATTTCGATCACATGCAGACCTTCGCGGAACAATTGAACCTGACGTGCACTTAATGTACCGAAACTGTAACCACCGCCACTGGCTGAAGGCCCGGAATGTGTATGTGGGTGTGCGCAAGTGTGTAAATGTGGTTGGGTCATCAATGCAAGAAGCGAGTGGCCCTTTCTTAGAAGGTTGCTTAAAGGGACTTAATTCCGACGGCAATAAGTTTCGAGTTGTCGGGGTGGTAGAAACTAGTAGAGATGTGAGCACCTACCGTTAAGACTGCGACCCATTAGTAATACAGAAGCGGGTTGCGGCGTATCCGGCTTGACCTCCACCTCCACGCTGTTGGCGCGGTAGAGACGGAACTGGGTCGCTTCGCACCTTAACCTGATGGCGCCCCAACTGCCGCCCACGCCGGTCAGTTCTAATCTACTGTTGGCAGTATCCAGCAGCTCGCTGTCTTTAATAATCGACGCCGACGTCGAACCCGGCACCTGCGGACACACAGACAAAACGCCAACTCAATGAAAATCACATCATTACAGATTTACTTATACTAAGTTACGCGGACATGTTTAACAACGAGTGTTAATTAATATTAGAAAGCGGGCGTGCTTTTGTCGCGCACGGTCGCTCCGCAAATATGCGAAACACAATGCCGGCGACGCGTGTTTTAATTATTTACCCCGTGAACCCCGCCGGAGGCGATACGTGTTAGCGACGCATGACCGCACCCGGCTCGAACAAAAGGTAAACTTTTCAAAAAGTCATCGAATAAATTGAGGTCTAACACACATCGAATATTCGCCGACGCCGAAAGCCAAAGTCTACTAGCGCCGAAACGCGAGAATAGAATAATTGAATCAATGATTAGTAAAGTTATTCGACAGCAATGCCTGCGCCCGGTGTGGAGGACTTTGTCGGGGTTTTCGGTTTACGAACGGTTGTCCGCAGGCGAATTACATAATTTCCATCGCAAATATAACCGCTGTTCACATGCACCAAATAGCACAAAGTCAACCTGCATACCAACACGGCTTAAACCTGAAATTTCAAAAATTTAACCATAAACTCCCGCTTTGACCTTACTATTAATTATCATCAATCCATTGCATTTAATTTATCATCATTCGACGCACGCCCATATCGACCAATTAGCACTAATGAATCAAGAGCGCAATTCGATTGTGACACAAACATAATTATCCGTTCGGCTCCATTTTATTATATTTTTACCACCCGCGATGTCATTGCAAAGTGGTATAATTATTAATTGCTCCGTTTGTAGCAGGGCCGCGAGCGGGCGCGAGCTCGGACACGTGCACGCATGTCGAACACAGGATACAGGAATTGAATCAGGGATAATTTGTACGTTTTGGTCGCGCGCGCGCCCCAATCCGCAATGTTCAGCGCGGCTCAGTAGCCGGTTAAAAGCGTGTTGGGGGTGGCGTTGGGTGCGTGTAATAACATTGCACGTCCGGACCTAAATACACGAGGTTGGGTCATGTATACATATGTGTTTGTTTATTGTATAGCGCAAGGTTTCAAGCTTACATACTTTCAATTCACTACAGTGTATTTGTTGCGCGCGCGTTTGAACCTCGTTCACGGCCATGTTTAGCTTTAATTAACAGCGATAATTGCGTTTGGATTTTACGATGCACCTACAGGTTTCCATAATTAACTAACAATAATTTTTTAGTGTTATAACGCGAAAGAGAGAATTATGTATCTCTGTAGAACCACAAACTCAATTTGCTACAAATCAGTTTAATTTAATTCTAGTGCAGCAGCAGCAATTCTGAACAAACATGTTCAATTATATCGCATACTAGTGTTGGCACAATCCCACCACAACAACAACACGCAAATCTCAATTAGCAGTTGTGCACCAGTTATGTATCCACCATGTATATTGATATATCTAATTGTTTAATGGAACTTGCATCAGATTCCGCTAATACCCCTAATAATTCTCAATCTAAGTAAACATGTCGCATAATACGTCTGCAGTGAATCAAATAAATGCAATTTTTTTGGGCGAAAATTTTAGTTTTGAAGTTTGAAAAGGTACAACTACATCCAATTATTGCTCCTGCGCATAGCTACGTCTATTGAATGAAGGATTGTTCAGTATTTCGTTCATTGTTTTGTTATGGAAGTGCAGCTGGCTATTGTTCGCCTGGCTGCGAATAGAATCGAAATTGCAATGCGGTGTTTTGTGCGCTGCGGGCGGCGGGGAATGATGAAATAACGAATTGAATTTTGATAATGCCATAATAACTGCTGGTGTTAGAACGCGTTCAATGCCAACTACCAAATAGCATACGTTAACGAGCATATCTACAGAAACACCGCACGTCGACCAAAAGCTTTAATAATTCTGGACTTGATTAGCACCCGGTTTTAATCCTTCAATTCCACCAAACTCAATTTGACGGATTTCGACGAAATATTAAAAATTCAACGTACTCGTATAATTTCCGATTAATTTTCTTGCGACGATGTTGACACTGAGTGAAAAGAAAAAGAAGTCGCAAAGGCAAAGGTATTAGCACTGGGTTTTTACGAGCTCTCGCTTTTATGATCACCGCATTAATGAAACGTGCCCCGGACAAAACGCGAAAGATAATAAACATGTCGCAAATGTGTCGAGTCAACTGAAAAAAATGTCATTTTCCAAATGACTTCGTTTCTATATTTTTGAATGCAAACGCATACTTTCATCTGAAAATCCACGTGGTTTAGAAAAAGCTAACTTTGCTTGATTGCGACGCAACGACGAGTGCTCTTTAGTTTCATGTTATTCAGCGAGGTCATGAGTGGATCATCTCTACTATATTCATACTCTCTACCAACTAGTAGTAGATAAAATTTATTCACATGTCTACAGAAACATCAAATAAATGAACTAGAAACAGTGACGGTGATTAATCTCTACCATATCAAACAGGACAATCAAAACAAATATTGCCGAGTGTAATATTCATCGCACAAAACGTCCCCACGAGTTTGGAACACGTTTGAAAGGAACTCGGAAGTAATAATGGTGTGCGCTGTGCATGTTGTGTGTGTGGTTGTGCTTTGGCGTGGACCACGCGTGCCAAAACAACCGTCGAACTCAATTAATTTCCCATTAAACGAGAGTTTAGGCAACACAACACAGGCGCGCGCGTTGCTTTGTGTCCCCGCGAAAGCGATGCGTGTGTACACCGACGGTATACGCTTAATTAATTGATTAGCGTAATACGATATTAATTATCGAAATCCCCATAATTGCCTGATGCCATGAAGATGCTCTTGTAAACCGCAATGAAGTATCGTATGCTTCAAGTGGAAGCACAATTCGCTTTGTACTCGTAGATCATTATCGTCGAATTATTTAATATGTGAGATTTATGTAAAGCATCCACCGCTACATTTGTCCAGCATGTTGAATGTTGAAATATGACAGTCGCAGAGATATTAGCTAGAGTTTAGTCCAACTTCCGATGCGTTACCGCCATTAAACAAGTTGCTTGGACGTGCAAATAGATCCACTCATCTACAGGATGTTGAATCCGCTCGGATACGTTTTAAATCAACGGAATTAATGCGGAAATACTTAACATGTAATAAACAAAGTTGGTTTGTAAATGTTTTGGTCCGAATTAATAATATACTGCAGTGTAGGAAATACGCGAGTAAAGAGTAGAGGGTATTGCAGAGATTTTGCTCGGTATAATCTGCACGAGTGGGAAAATATATAGCAGAGGTATAGCTACAGATGAATGTTGCATCGGTGGCACATATGCCCTTAAACGCAGTTAACTTTATGATAAATAGACGGATAGAGTTCGAGGGGTTTGCACACGGACCGCAGTTACACAGCGCCAACAAGCAAACTCACTTCTCTGAAGCCCGAAACTAGCTTTATACATTCACATGTGTGAGTTGGATATGTAAAATGCATTTGCGTTTACATGTCCACCAACTCCACAGCGTTGAAATAAACTCAACAGCAATGATACAAACAGAAAAAGAATAAAATATTTAACTAAATTTTAGTGTTTTGATAATTGTCTGTATAATTCTATGCAATGACAATTTGAAATGTTTTGCAGCCAGCAAACACAACACCCACAATAATGTGAATATTATGCCGCGCTGATCATATCATCTGAATGCGCACGAAATCACGCGGCATTCCACCCGCGGCATTCGACGCACGCATATTAGCATTCGATGGGCGGCAGGCGAGGGTTCGACGTAATAGAATCGAAGGTAGTGGAGTGTACTCACCCTTTGATCGTTGACATACCACGTGAGATTGGGCGCAGGTGACGCTGGCGGCGCCTTGCATTCTGCTATGAGTGGGCCGCCTCTTTCCAACCCTGCACGATCCACAGTCACCGCTGGTACACCGTCAGGAACAACTGGAAACAAACAAAAAATAAATTTATCATTTGTTCCATTACGTCGGCTAAAATTTAAAAAAATATATTCGAACAGTGAATAAATATTTATCAAACAGTTGTAATCCCCCCATGTGTCGAATGTTTATATGACGAGAGTGGACAAATAACTAAAACAAATAAATGGCAGACACTCGTTTCAATTTGGATCACAAATGCGTGTTTTATTTACAAACGACGAGACGACTTTATGGACACTGTTGATTTAGTCTACACTACGAGTAAATACGATAGGTTCGCATCCTTGTAAAAAATTTATCGTCTTTTTCGATTGCAATAGATCTTGCGTACGCGCCAGGGGTGGTGATTAATTTCCGAGGTGATAAGGTGATAAGATGACAAAGAAGGGCGTAAATTGTTTACGTCGCGGGCGAAAACATAAAGTCGAGAGGACATTTATCGTACGCAAAGAAGTAGATCAGCGGCGGTGGAGCATTCTTTAGCCGCCTCCACATCCGCCTTGCATTTTCAACAATTTACGCGCGAGCGGCACTTTTATGACTGCTTTTTGTTGTGCGCTCGCGGAATTTTTCTCTATTCACTCGCGGGCGGGTAAATGCTTTTAGCAGCGGCGGTCTGCAGGACAAAAAGCGCGTTTACGGACGTGTTTAACATAATTTTGTTTTTGCGACCTCACTATTCCTCGTCGGGCGGTGCTGAAAATGTTGTACAACACAAGACAGCACAACATTAATCACCATCAAATGTTTCTAACGATGCGCTGCGTTCAATTGAAAAGAAAATGCAATTATTTTATTTAAAATATTCGAAATAACTGTACAACACGCTCGTGGAAGTTTCACGATCGAGTAATCCGAGCTGAATTACCTTACGCTTCCAAAACCGTTTAATCCGGATTTAAATAACTTTCTGTGGGCTGTTAGTCGCCTGCTGTGCCTACGCCACACACCACCAACCCCCGCAACCTGCGTGAGGCGGTGCTTTTTGTTAAACGCCGCGTTAAAAGCCGCGCCTCATTGTGAGGCTATTGTTTTATTCGCATCTTAATTATTTTTATAATACTAATTGTGCTGCTCACTGAACGCGGGGGCGAGTTAATTAAATATTATAATCCGGTAAGCACGTATTCAAAAATTAAATTTTTTAAATAAATTTTAAAATATTCTGCATAATATAATTTAATCTGCTTTATCCCACGCGTTGTACACACGTCAAAAGAATGAAAAAAGAACGTAAACAAAAAACAATCACACACACAAATAATAAATTATGTTTTTCTAAACAAGTCGACGGGACGTCGACTAACCTTAACCGAATCCTTTTGTAAAAACCTACTTTTCATCCGTGGAGTCTTTCATTCCGCTCATTCCCAAAAACGAGTGTTTTCGGCAGTTTGTCATTGGAACTACACGGCATATTAATCAAAAAATATTCCGCCGCTCGTTCGTTTTTTATCTCCTTCGTTTAGTAAACTTTTTTTGTGCGTTTGTTGGCGGCGTCCGTGTGTGGTGCCGTCGTCTCCAGCATCCGCACACGCACAGCGGTCGCGCTTTCCAGGAAGTCGAAGTTCTTTCCGCTCATAATAGAGATGCAAACCGTCATGTGTCGAATGAAAGGAAGAGAACGCGCGGCGGTGGTAGTAGGAGCAAGCGGGAGGTCATTCATCATTCCCGCACCAAAGTGAAGGACCCAAAAAGGACCAGGAAGACGACGGGGCGTCCCCGATACAATCCGCACGCGTTTTGCATTCGCAATTTCCTACGGCGCGCGCGCGCGGTGACTTATCGAAATTACAATAAAACCGCTAGAGCGCCACCATTGTCTCCGCGATAATTTATCTCACAACCGAAGCTCCCGGGCACAAAACTCTCCAAGAGCTTTGTGTCTTTGATTGGTTTTGCTCCGCTTCGAAAAATTGATTTGCTCCGCAAATAAATTCGGCGGTCAGTTTGAATTTCGAGGTCGTAAATAAACACAGCAGTAGATAATGATAACGGTTGATGGCGCAACGTGTGGTCTAGCACACTCCGAAATTTTAATTCGACTCCCGCGAGCACCGGAAAACCATTCGGTTAGCATTTTAATCCTTTTTTTACGCTAGGTTAGTGACCATAATACGAAAATTGTCCGTAATGTTCCAGCGGTATGATATACAAGGTGATGCGAGATTAAACCGCGACAATGGTAAACGCAATTACCTCCTGGAGTAGCATGGTGTTCAGAACACCGCTGAGTTGAAGAGAGGATGGAACAAAAGAAGGAAGCGCCGAGTTTCAGTTATTCGCTTGCTCGCCACTGCGCTCGAATGGGCAATAACGGGTTGAAATTCATCCCTAATGCGTCTGCTCGACTTGGTAAACATTCGCATTAAAGTTTTCGCGATGGCCCATATTCGAATACGAAATGTTTTCGGGGTAACTGGTGGCGCGTGGGGTGTGGAGTGTAGACTTAAAGTTGGAATTATCAAGATTCAAGAAATTACTAGGTTAAAATTAAAAAATAATTCCAATAATCTTCACAAACGCACAAAACTCTATTCTAGGTTATCACTTGATGCTTATTTAACCTCTCAAATAATAATTTAATATTATCTTTGTATATTGTTTTGTCAAAGCACTCACTCAGTCGATCCTTTTAACATTTCCCTATTATCCGTTGTCTCTTCCTTTCGCAATGACGTTAAATCTGAAAACTCACACGTTCGAGATTTCCATCGCTTCCACCGCACTTAATGAATCCACACAGGCTTAATTAGTACTTAACATACGCATCTCCTCGAAGCTACTTTGAAAAGATGTCGCTTTAGCTTTGCATCTCTATTCATAAGATAATTCACTTTTCTACAGCGCGCTGCATGGCAAATTCCCCAAAATAAATACACTTTAATTAAGTTACTTGTCAAAAACAATTTAGTGCACTCAGTGTATACGTGTTGTAAAATGCAACACGAGTTCACTGAGCATAACGACATGTCACAACCTCCTAGCTGAGTTTATAGTTGATAGTTACACCTGTAATTTATTAACGACGCTGTTATTTTTGGCAAACAGGGTGTGGTGCGGTACTGAAAGTGAGCGACGACCTCGACACTGACTTCGCCCGTGATTCTCGACAAAGATGACGTCGCAGAGTTAGAATAAAGAGACGGAAGAAGAGATAAGCGCGGAATTTATTGGGAAGTTTATTCAGGACGTTCCTCACTGCGTCGTCTGGCGTCGAGCCGCTTGATATACTGAAAATTTAGTGAATCTGTGACCAAATTTGTTAAATGTCTCCAATTCCAGCGCATTCCAAGACTTGTAGAAATGAAATACTTGAGATTATTTCTTGATTAAAACTTTTTACCCTTTCATCTCGCTGATATGGCTTAAAAGCTCAATTTGTAATTATTATTCTACAAGAAAAACTTTATTTGTATTTTTACGTTTCTGTAACACTTGGTATTGAAACAAATTAAAAGACAGTTTTATCTCTTGAGCACCTCTTTGCGTGCGCCATTTCAAAGAAAGGAAAAGCATTGTAAATTTATGTAAGCAAGGTAAAGGAGTTTAGTGAGCCGGAGCGACGATTCGAAGCGCTTTTGCAGCCGATTTCAAAATTTCGTTTCGAAACTTTGAAAGTTAAATTGTGTCTGCGCGCTACTGCTATACACGCACACCTATCCGGAGCAGCAGCAGGCAAAAATAAAAATATAAAAAAATCAGATACAAAATGTTACGCGCTAAATTTCCTCGCATTCATATACCAAAGTAGCAAGCGACGCCGACGCCGTGTCGACGACGGTGGCATTATAAAGTATAAAACGCGTTTTGCTAACGTCCCAATGTCAAAGACACGGCACACGGCGCACGGCAAACGCACACCGCGCATTTTTATACAGATAATTTCGCAGTGTCTACGGCTGCAGCTTGCGGAAAAGACCAAATAAAAGACGCGCGCGCAGTAACAAACAAAAAATATGTACGCCGACGTGCAAGATGCAAAAGGAAGACGACGGGGCGCGCACAAGGCAAAGGGCGAACGAACATGCGACATCCGGTTTCCGTTCGTGCACAAACACCACTATCGCGCGTCTGTTTGTTCGCAGTGAGAGCCGCGGCGACGGAAAGATGACGGCATACGGTTGGTTTCGGTTTTTCGCCGCTTCAGAAAGCGCTAAAGAAAAAATAATGTCGCACCGACGCTAACCTTAAACTCCTGCTTTGAATTGCAAATTTTAACAACAGATTGAGCGCCGGGCGGGCCTTTTTGAACCTTACAACTTGCACACGTTGAATTGCAACCAACTTCAACATACTTTTGCACTACACAAATATTTACCTAATATTTTTATTCCCCGCACAAAAAGAAAAAAAGACGAAAGGAATAAATTTTCTACAATACTAAACTACTTGCTACTTAACTAAACCAAACCTGATATCGATTTTTATCGTGGCGTCCCCATTGTTCTCATTTCCGCTCATCCTTTTTAAACACAGACGCAATTTGATATGAAAGTGTTTCAGCTTATAATAGAATATAGAGCAGCGAATAGAAATGAAAAACATAAAAGCTGATGCAGCATAAAAGTATCGAATATATACACATTGTGGCGCGCCGAGAAGAAACGCGCAGTCTAATAACCAAATGTCGAAGCAGAAAAATCCGCCCCGCAGCGAAAAGGAGCGTCGGCGGATGCAAACGGAATGCCGAAGAGCCGCGCGCATCGTAAATACACAATGAAAGTGTCCTTGCGGGCCTTCGGAGACGGCGAGGCCGGCTGGGCGGCCGCCCAGTGAGATATGCTTTGTGCAATCGCGCAGCGGGACCACTTAACTCGAATTAAATCTGCATTACACTTGCCATAGGCTTGGCAGATTATGATCGTCGAAGCAATTAAACTAAGTAGAAACAATTTTAATTAAATTGTTGATCAAAGTCATCACTGGCAAATGTATTATACTTTTAAATCTTCTTAGAAATTCAAAGCAAATTTTCATCCTCAACAATTTAGTTAATAATTCATCCGCTTTTTCATGTGTGGCGCTAGTGTCCTTTTTTTCTAGTGTATCCAATTTACATTGGCAATTTACCAGAGTATTCCCAAATCCCCAATAAAATTTAGAAACCCAAATGGAAACGAAGTTCCTGTTTCTCGTGTGTACGAGTATTTTAGTACTAGATTCATCCGCGTGTGGCTAAGGTTGAAATGTCACGCTTGCAATTACTATGACCATTGAACCGACGCCATTTGCAATGCATGAGACGACTCCTTAAGGAAGCGATCGTCATTTATTAGCGAGAAATATCCGTGCTAATATCCTCCGACCACACTACTGTCCTTGCTGACTGTGCTGCATTGATGCTAATATCAACATATTACAGCGCCCGAGTGGTTGAGCCCAGCCCTTAGGCGGGTGTTTATGTTCGTGCTAAAAGGTCACTTTACACTTGTCCAGGGAATAGGATAACCGACATCCTCTGTGCTGGTCTGTGTGCATTAACCGGCCAAAAACATTGGGGGAAACACAAGCGGCCGGAAAAAATACTCGACTTATAACGAATTAAGTTTAACTTGACCTGGCTTCCTCGAGGGACGATAGACGGGAGAGACTAAAGTTTATCGTTTAGATCAAAAAGGGATTAAAGCTCTTCGAGCGTCTCGGATTGAGTGCGTAACATATAAAGAGCGAAATTTGATTTACTCAGTTTGCCATTTAAGCATCTCCCCCGAAAAGTTGAAAAGATCAATCAATTTTGTAATGCGTGGAGAAAAAAGGTTTGACCCACAAATAAATAAAACCAAATTGCGTCAGTGCAATAACGCGCGCATATCTAATATTGGCAATAACTCTTATCACATATAGACGGATAATATCATAAACAAAAATATACAGCGATATAAATTCATGCAATAAATTATTAATATAAATCCACGGCATGTGAGCGCATTTAATGTATGCGACGGTGAAAAGTTTTAATTCATACAATACGAGTATGAATCTCTCCCTCTCGATGTGTACGGCGTTATGCGAGTAATAAAAACTTTATTAACTTTATATGACAACCCGACTGCTTTTTTATTACAATCCTACACGTCAACTGACTGATGAGCATCATTATTTCGTATATTTAATTTATCTATATGTGTCTAAAATATTTAAAACGCATATTTCTGATGGAAAATGTAAAAAATCACACAAATACTAAACTTTATACACGATGATATTATTATTTGCAGTTATTGAATTATAATTTTCAGGTATATTAATACCATATTAATCTCATTATTTCAATCAGTCAAATATTAATTAATTGATCAAAAACCCATTGTAAAATAATCCCGAGCCATTAGATGTAACACACAATACATATTTCCCAACTAATTAACGACTATGAAACGGCGACTGATTCGTAATTAATTATGCAACCATAACACAATTAATGTTGTGTTTAAACTGACTTTTATTCCAAAATCCTTTGAAATATTTTGTATGAAATTCAACGTAATATAATAATTTTCACGTTCAAAATGAAATTAAATTCCTTTTATTGAAATTTGTGCAGCGAATTTAATTAAACGTAAAATCATCGACGAGAAAAAAAAGAATTCCATTTGGTGGAAAACTTATGTGCGGTGGTCAATGTACATGCACAAAATCGTATATCATTTCCGGCGGTTGGTGTATTGCTTCAAGCACTTGATATGGCTAAACGTAATGACCGCCCATTAAGTTAATGTAGACGAAGGGCGGCCATAAACGTGCGCGGAAAGAAAAGTAAACAATATGCGGGAACAACGAATGTTATAACGTTAGTTGAAACGATGGCTAATTAAACGCAGGAGGTATGTGATTGCGCGCTGGAACTCGCGTGCATTGTGCACTCACTCTTGGGTGGAAATTAAACGTTGGTGCACACAAAAAAAGCGCTCATGATGAATTATTGGAATTTCCAGCAAAACGCCAAGAAGCGCACTTTGCATCCATCGTGCACAAATTTTCAATTTCCTGTTCATTCTGCTAAAAGTCGGTATAAACGAAACTCAACAGTGAAGGATATGTGTCGATCATGCATACAGTGTGTTTTTATTAAAACAATGCAAGAGCAATGGAATTAATTTGTTTAATTTGTATTTTTTTACAACACTCGGTATTTTATGAAATATTTAGCATTCAATATTGAAATGCGTTCAAGACGGCTAAAAATGTCAGAATGGGTCATCAGTCATTTTAATATCGGCGATATTTAACGGGATTTTCCACCGCTCTTGCATTATTTATTTATTGTCTTTTAATAATAAAACAGGAAGCCGTCCTTTCATTCAATTCCCTCGCGTTTTTCGTTTGCACATCCCTCTCTTTCATTTCCTCATCATGCACCAATTGGTTTTCGAGTGCATGCTCAGCACGCTCGAACGAAATTTATTCTAAGGTTATGAACCACAGCAACAGACCCCGACGGCCATTTTGGGTTCGTGTGCGGGGAAAAGCCCGGGAACAAAGTTTACACTTACCGGCCACCGTCATCGGCGCAGACTTCATTTCGGTGTGGAATAGCGGAGCGTCCGCCGACACCTCGCATTGGAATAATCCGGACAATGGACGACCGACCGACAGCAGCGTCACCTTCCTGGCGTTCGAGACGGACACCTGCGAACAACACAGAGCAAAGAGAAGAATGAGTCCGGGTATGCGGAGGCGGCACAAATGAAATTTTGATTGAATGCATCGCTCTCATCAGGTTCTCGTAAATGGCAAACGATTTCTTCTCTTCTTTGATTGAATGGACGACATTGTGCAATCGAATGGATTCAGGGAAAAGAAGAAATGAAGCAAAAATCTGCAGCAATTTATATCCAATTATAATTTCGCGGAAGCAAACATTAGCATTTTAATAATCTGTCTTCTCCGACTCGTCGGTGTTAACTTTTTCTATATCATACCCTTGGGTCTTGTGCGATGACAACTTCAATAATAAAAATTGTCGTCGCATTAATATTTAAATGAAACAGATGCCTGCAAGCACTTCTTAGATACACTGTCAAAAAAAGTCGAAAAGAATTCCGGTGAAGTACAAAAACGAAATAAAAAGCCTCGTTTGACTATAGGTAGGCCTCCTCTCAGCAAATGGAACAATTCAAAGTGCGATTAATTTCGCCTTTTCGTTTTTTTCTCTTTGGCGCGTTTCCTTTAGATTGCTCACTGGTAAATGAAAAAAACCAAAGAAATGTGCTACCTTAACGAATTCCCTTATGGATTTATACAGTGGAAAAACGGAACCGGAATGAATAAAAAAAAAGAATAGGAGCGTTTAATGAGAACATCGACAGTTTTTTCTTTTCAATTTTACATCAAATGATCATCATTAATTCAACACAACATAAATTTATCAAAAAATTGTTTTTGATGTTTTATCTGAAGGGAAAACTATTAATTCTTTGGAAACAAAGCGCCAAGTGACACGACGTCAGCCACCAAACTTTCTGGTCTTATTTAACGTAATTAACTTCTCCAAAGTGTGCACACCGCGTAAGTTGGGAGCGAGTGTAACAAATCGAAACTGCAGATTAATAACCGCAGTCGAGCGGCACGACGACGCGCAAGAAACGCTGTTTTTACAAACTGCGCGCGCTGATATTGCAATCTATAGACGCACAATGAATCCCAAGAGAATAAGCTGGACTAAGATAACTACTTTAGGCAAGTAGCAGCCCCAGCTTGCACCGAAACAATAGCAAACTTTTCGACGGTTTCGTGTTTCCACTTGCAGTCGTGGTCATAAGCGCAAAAAATCCGCGTAACAAGGGTAAAAGTTCACTGCAAGTGATGCGCCCGCATACTTCCGGTTTTCCGGTACATTTAAACCAGGAACGCGCCAGCAGGTGAAATTAATTAAGCAAAAACGTAGAAAAAATCTGCAGAAACCTAGCAGATAAAAGAATTTCAAGTGGAAAATTTAAAAAATTTACAGAAAAAGTCGCGTTCTCAAAGGAAATAGATATCGCTGCTGCAGCACGAAACTTGATACATTAAACAGTCTAATTTGTCTCCCACGCCCGACTGATGCGCCGCCGGCGAAACACGAGATACTGATTAAAACGAATTAAAATCGTTAATTAAAACCCATGCAGAATTGCACCTTTCCGTCTTTGCTCTGCGCCTCAGCCTCAGCCTCTTCGAAGATTGCAAAACAAAATAAAACAAAACATTTAAATCAAGGTGTGTGCGCGGGTAAATAAGATTAATTTCGTTTTGATTTCTTTTAAAGCCTGATTAAGAGCCTCGAGAGAGTTGAAAGCTTTTTACAATCGTCTCGAAAGTTTTTTTTACATCAACAAAAACTTCACTAAAAAGATGCGCATCATTAAGTTTATAGAAAAAAGTAATACCACAATAAAACAGTCAGAAACATAAGCATATTTATTACTATACCCGGATTGGAAAAGTATGGGAAATGAAAGTGGAAAGTGTAGAAAATATCAGTTTCTACGATTGATTGATAGCGCGGAGTCAAGACTTGTTTTCGAATCCCATTTCCAGAAGCTAACATTCGTCACAAGATCACAAACAAGTCACAATGGTAAAAATATCGTATAAACGGCTTCCTGCTGCGATAACGTATAGATTTTGACTGTGATTGATTCGTATGTGGATGAAAAATATTTCATTTTATAAACCGCATAGAACTCGGCATACTCAACTAAATTACAGACTTTTATAATGTAATTTTGTTGTTGTACATCATAATCTATTCATCAAACATTTCGAAAAACGTGTCAAATCGAATTTTTGAATAAATATTTACCCTGAAAACAACTACTACTTGCAAAAGGTAAATATTGGTCCAAAAATTGAAATTGTTGATTGTTCACATACGGATTTTGTTTATTTTGATGTTTTTCCCATAGTTAAATAAAATAAATGAATATTACTAGAAGATGCCGCACTTTCCAACTACATTAATCATGAATTTCCAGTCAATATGAGACAAAACAAATCGTGAATATACATAAATGTGAAAATGATTGAATGTTATCCCTGCTCACGACTTGAGCTTGAGCACAGGCCGGCATATTATCAATAACACTCTCTGGCAAATTGCGCACGCTCGCTTAGAGATGGTCCAGAACTTTTCTATTTTTGGTTGTAAATCGCAGCCCATTTGTTTCGTCAATTTTCAATTTTACATCGCGCTCACACACAAAGCACTTCTTTACAAATTGCTCGCTAGATTTACTCGACTAACAGCTGCAATTTGTAAGTACACGCGGGCGCATTCTTGAATATTTAATACTCGACTGTCTTCTATGAACTTTATCTATCTTCTTTTATCGAATTACTTTTCTAGTGTGAATAGAAAAAACGTCGAGTGGTGCATGTGAAATTTCGATACACTTTTATAACTTTCCTTTCGATTCGGCCAATTTTACGATGTCGTTCGCCATTGTTTTCATTTTTCGCGTTCGTGTTTTATCTCCTGCGCCTTAAGTGAGAGTGCTGCAGGGCTACGGCTTCAGGTTAACGTAGTCGCATAAAAGTTGTTGTACCTTGACCCTGTCGGTTGCGGGGCTCACCAAATGGTGAAAATATACACATATACGCAGAGCGATATAAAATTTTTGTGTCCGTCATTTCCATTTCACATGCGTTTTTTGCAATGCTGTCAGGCATCAAACATCAAGAAAACCATGTGGATACATGGCGTCTACACTTTATTATTCCTTCATGTATTATTTCGCTTTTTGCTACTTTTCTAGCAAAATATAAGTTTTCTTGAGATAACAAACACGGTAAACAGGATGGAATAAACAAGCGCATATAAAAGTAGTGAATATTTTATCTTATTATGTATAAATAATAAATTATAATAGAATTACTTCTGAAATTTAATTTTTTACTTCGTTTTTAATTCCAACAATAAAGATATTTAAGCAATAAACACATAAACAATAAATTTACGATGTGCGCGGTTGTAAAACAGCGACTTAAAAAAATCATAAAATTATTATTCATTTTTTTCCGCTGCGTATAGTGTCGCAGTGCGAGTTTTTATTTCTACGTACTTTATGGTGAAGGCGCCGGGCTACTAGCTCACTGCGGTGCGTACCGGGTATTTTTATATAATCATACTCGTGTGGTCCTCGAGAGGGACACGACACCACAGTTAAGTGCAAAAATGTGACAAGTATGCGACAACAGGCCGTAAACGCAAAATAAACAAACGTGAATTTATATTTTGTTATTTATTCTAGCGATTGAATAAAAAAGCGTATTTTATAATTAGATAAAATTACATTTTTCTGTATTTGCTGGAAAATGATTATCGCGAATATTGTTTGTTGTGAGAAGTTTCCGAGAAATAATAAAATTAAAAAACGCGCAAACAAAATCCAACCACCCTGCAGCCACTCAGCACAAAAAGCGAACTGAAGCAAACCAAGCAAAGCAAAACCACAAACAAACAGTTGCCATTTGCTGCGTTATGTTCCATTTCATTCAGTTTCGAGTCGCCCCGAGAGTTCGGTTCAACCATTACGCCTCAGTGTCGGACGCATTGAAAGCGTCAACATTTCAACGTGTACTCGCATGTCATAGTGCTTTAACATCATAAGTATGCACATTCGCGCAAGCAAACAAACAAACATAATAAAAATTACAAACAAGCAAACGCAGTCGTAGAAAAATATTAAATATTCAGATAATACACAGTGTAATTGCACTTGCACGTCTGCAACGTAACGAGAAAAAGAGAATTAAAACCGGATGTAGAGAGAGCGTGCGCGTTAATACTCGCGATAATTTTTCTTAATGTAATTTAAAAACACATCTCCCAGCGTAGTGCTTCCCCCATTCAGATAATAGTTGTTATAATAACGTGTTATGTAACCAGACAAACTTGCCACAGAATAAGTAACAGAGAATTGTAAAGCCGGAAATGAGAGACTTTCGCAGAGTTTAAACTTTCCATTCATGTAGCTGCGTCGCACGCGCGCTTCCTACATGGAAGAAAAACGACAAGCTCTCGCAAGTTGTTATTCCGGAGCTGCTTTGTCTTCTACGCTTGTATTTGGATTGTAAAAGTCAAGAGAAGTTGTTCGCGGAATATAATGTGAACACGCCGACAAGAGGAGCAAAATATTAACTTTATCACCACAATATGATATTAATTATATCTTAAAATCTAAAAAAATTAATACTTACATCAACGTGAAGGCCAGGCAATGGGAAAACTCTTGTAGGTGGTGCTTCCTTCGGCACGTACCGATAGAACTCGTCCGAATTGCGATACCACTTGACCGAGTAAAGCGGTGCTTCCTCCAGGTCATAGTCGCATTGCAATGTGACGGAGTGGCCCACACGGACGGCTCGTGGCACGGTTAGGCGAAGATTTGTCAGGCTGCAGCTTCTGCAAATTTCTGAAATGAGAAAAAGAAATTTAGAAAATTTATAGAAATAGGGCTGAATTCAATCTAAGATTAACAGCCAAAGTCTTCTACGCATGGAATGAAACGAAAATTGCTGAATATTCGATGAGTGAAAGTATTACGTCGATGGCTATGATAGTAACGACGGTGCGAACGCTTACAGTAAAGTAAATCCTTCGAATCCATCCACTAAGCTTTCTCCGTTACGTGAAAAAATAACTTAATATACATAATGTTTTAAATTTTCATTTTATAAAAATTAAAATTCGTTAAAATTTTAATTTTTGAGTTTCAACTTATAAAAACTTAAATTTTTATATAAAAAATCTTGAATTTTGAATTTTTAAAATTTTTATTTAACACTCTGTATAAATGTGTGTATAGATGTAGATATCAAATCAAAAATTCGCGTCTGAAGGTGCAGGTAGTCTTCTTTTCTATTTTACTTCCCCTTGAGCGGAAAAAGTGTAGTGATGAATATCAACGCAAAGATTCACACTTTTCGACGAGTTCACATGTGTAAAGAGCGAGGCGGCAGCACAAGAGGACTCGAGCGGCCCTCCAACGCTTCTCGTCGATGTGATATCGCCGCGAATATAATCCGATTCGGCGCCGCATAGGTGACGCCCGAAGACGCGCACTGATATATCGACAAATCGGCTTTTCTCTCCTTTTGCCGGGCGCAAATAGCAATCGGCTCAGAAGCGGCACCGGCGTCACACGGCGATTGCTAAAATGAGTGATAGAAATCGGAGGAGCCGGCATTGAATCATAAAAAAGGGGTAATAGGGACGGTTTTGTTACAAAAATAACATAAATTTCCACTTTAACTTAAAATTCCAACAAACTTGGTACTTAGTCGGTAATAGGTAGAGAATAATATGTGGAAACATTTAAGCGTTACCCACACGGCAAAGTTTGCACAATTAACGCCAAAATTATAATAATAGCTTTAGTATTCCCGTCACAAACGCGGTGAACAAAGCCCTACCGCACGTAGAGATCCCGAGCAAGTCACATTCACACAGCAAACACCCGAAATCTGATATTTACTATTTGTGTAACAACATGTATATTCATACCATTGCAATGTTATAATGAAGATATGGCAAGTTAAAGCCTCAGTCAGCTGCTGGTACAAGACGTGAACGACCAAAGGGAGCGAAGGATACGCAGGCATATGCGCAGACAAATCCTGCATGCCAAGACAAGGATTCCAACGGTAGCAACATCGGATTCAGGATTGCATGTTTCGTCTCGTCTTGCTAATTCTAATAGAATCCGTAATTAATTTATGCCCGTTGAGTTTCGACTGTCGCACGAGGAATAACATAATGCGCACGACACACACATTAAACCGAAACTATTTGTTTGTATTGAATTATAGAATAATAATGCAAGATACACAAAAGGCAATTATGTGTGTGCAAATATAAATAAATTCACGTGCTCATCAGGAACGTATTCAAACAGACCGGTGAAGATTATAAAACCAATGTCGCTTTCGCGAAGCTAAATGAAGAAGACTTGGAAGCCACGAACGGAATTTAATAAATCCGCTCGCAAACGACATGAATTACCGCTTGTTCGATAACGCCGCCGCTGCCGCCGCCGCCGTTGCCTCTTGAGCACACAAATTTCAACTTCTTAAACTTTACAGGCGACACCACCATTCGAATTTGTGTCATTTGTGCGGCATTCAATCCCCCGGTGTAATAATCACATTGTCAGCGCCCCGGTTGTTTTAATTAAACTTTTATTAAATCGACGTTTCATCTTGGCGCACCACTCGTCGTTTAACATAATTTTACATAACTTCTTTAGCGCCGGCGCAAATATTTATACAATGTTTCCGAAAATAGAATTACAAGTATGAATAGTTTGGCGGCGAGTGCGCGAAATTTTCTCGGCGGTGCACACGCGCTTGAAAGAAAATAGTTTGGGAAATTATGGAAATTTCACCGGTGAGGGCCCTCAACTCTTGATTTAAATTTCAAATATACTTTAGGTAGCCTCGTTTCGGTTGAGGATGCAATTGTAGTTTACGAAAAATAAAATAAAATAAAATAAAATGCAGAATTTGTTTTTGTGATTTTGTGATTAATTTAACACTTGCAGGTTGACAAATGAAAGATTTACTTTTAACCGGGATGCAGATGAGTTACGAGAGTTAAGATTGTGTTCAGGTCCGCATTCGAAATATCGGAATGCAGAGCGAGAATTAACTGCGCGGGTGGGAGCGCGCGCTGGGAATGTCAACGCATCTGAAATGCAAATCGCATTCGCCCCGGCATTAATGTGTTTTCCCTCATTGTGTCGTCTGTCGCGGCGCAGCGTTCGCGTACTTCCTGTAATGATTAACAGCTACAACAGCAACGCCGGCGGCGGTGCGACGACATCAATAAAAACAAAAGCACTCGACGCAAAGAACTATTAAAAACCGATAAAACTAAACGCCTTCGACGATAAGCAAGAGGAATGCCTTTGGGAAACTTGAGCCGAATTGGGCGCCTTTTAATTCGACTTTAATTACGCGTCATTTGATTATTTCATCAAAGAAAAGGGCAGCTGTAATACGAATATAGCCGTAATAAGGGTCGGCCCATGGAATGCGAATGAAGTAAAAACAACTTTAATAATCTGCTTTTCCAAACAAATGCCACCGCCGCCCAAGGAGCGCGCGCGCAAGAACAACTTTATATGGGCCTAATCTAATAACGATACACAACGAAATAATAATATTGCAGAGTGCGGGCGTGCCGTCGATCCCTTCGTCTATTAGGGACGCAAAGAGGGTCGTTGAAAGGCACAACTTGACAATAACATCAACCAAATAATGAAAAGGGAAGAGCCGCCAGTGTTGGTGGCATATTTCGGTTAATTAAACTTTAAACTTAAATTACCTAAAAGCCTATGCATACTCGTACACGCTCATCACTTTTCTATTAGAATGTTTAACACAGAAAACTTTTTTTACAAAAAAAATTAAAATTAATTAATTACAAATTAATTGAATCAATTTAAAAGTTTTTCTTTAATTTCTTTGTTTGTTTAGTTTTTGCTGTTTGTTGGCTTTGTGTGCAATCGCAGCATTTTTGGTTATTTCGATTCCTTCCGATTTTCTTAACTTGCTCAAAGACCCGCATTGTCTCTTCTATTTATAGCTATTTCGCTGTTATTTCCTCTGTCGTCGCCGACACAAACAATACCTGCATCATGCCGGCGGATAAGCGCGTATTTTTCTCTCCGACTTCGAGCGGAAAATTGTATAAGCTTTATTTATAGTGAGCGGTGTGGTGTTTTGGTCTTGACTTGCGAGAATTTTTACAGCGTTCTAATGCGTTTTTTCTATTTCTACCTTTATAGCCTCTATTTTCCCTCGGTATCATGGCATGCAAAGTTACACTTTAGTACCTCTTAGTTAAAGCCGTGACTAAAGTGCCGTTTAGCACACTTGGTATTAAATATACTATTAAATTTAAAAAATAAATGCTTGTGGGTCAATTCTTGAATTTAAAAGGTTCTAATAATTCAATTTAAAAAATATGATTAGAAAACACTCCGTTTATTAATTTTATCCCAACCTATACCTCTGTTTAAAGTTATTATCATCTTGTAAAGTCGTCGGCATAAGACGACGGGCCGTCGTGTCGTAATCCGGTTAAACGCAGAAGAGAATTTGATGTCTTTTCAGAATCGCTCCTCACGCATAATAATAAGCCATTGTCCTTTTGTGTTTGTGCACGCGAGTACGTGCGCACCGCCCGCTTGTCTCTACTCCTCGAAGGAATTTCATTATATCATTGCCCATCAGCTTCTACCACCATCATCATTACGTCTCCGACAAAGTGGAAGGACGGAGCGAAGGGAAACACTCGCTCGTCCTTCGACGCTTTTGGGGACCGATGTCTTCTTGGATTACTTCCAGATGAATACAGAATTACGCCAACCGTATCGCTAATTATAGTGCGAATAAAATAAAACGGATTTATTTATGCACACATTATGTTTACTTAGTAATATAATGAACAATTTGCCAACAGATGTAGGCGTAGTGTGGTTACGTAAAATTTCTCCCTAGTTATGCGCCAAATGTTCCTGTCACATTGATGTTTATAAATAATGTATTTTATTAACAACGCACAAAGGCCCCGAAGGATTTTAATCGGTTAAACATCGTCGTTTGTAAACAAACTTCGTGTGCGCCCCGAGTAATTGAGAAATGTACAATACCATGACTAATAACATGAACAATTTGCTTACAAACAAGTAATTTTGTTCTTGGTGGCGTTCATGGCTGGAATTTTAAGCTTGAACAATCACATTCTTTCCCCACAAACAAACACAAAACATATCAACTGAAAATTGTATTTTTTTCGGGTCGTAATTAAAAAATAATCCAACTTTAGAATTTATTAACTTTTCAGCCTGCGAGTGGAGAATTTTACGGGTAAGTTAATTCAATTACGAGACACTTCTAGCCGCCAGTAGGTAACCCACTTAGCAGGAAGATGACGAGACGGAAACTGCATGACGACCAAACGTTAATTCACCGCGCGCCATGTTTGAGAACACATTCTGCATGGCTAAATGCAGCCGCCCAACTTTGCTCTAACCAACTATTCACTAGTTTGCTATAAATATGAAAGTGGATTACACACAATCAGAAATATCATGTAAGCAACCGCGGTAATTTGTGCCCTACAACACCCTGTATAATCTGGTAGGCTAGGAGAGTTTAGGAGTTGGCTGGCTGAAAGTGGATTAATTGAGTTGCTTGCAATGCTAATGTGTATACATACACAAACCCGTATATTCGCAATCCGGCAGCAAAATCGGATTATTTATTAAACGGACCGCAATATAAAGTAGGCTGAACCGTTCTCGAGAGTCCTAAGGCCAGACACAGAATTTAATCCACGATTTTTTCGTCAACTGGATATTTTTTTTCTGCTGGGCAAAGAGTTATTTAGTCGACGATCAATTAAACA